ATTCTAAATAATGTCTGAATATGTCTCGACAGTCTTAAATGTGTCTTGACACTATCTCAACAGTATAAATTTCGCCTGAAATGTGAACAGACTTATTCTGCACTGTTTATGACATTCTATTGCTGTTGTATACTCCTTTTTATTATGGCTAAACTAAACTTTGAAGAATCAAGGATTAATTTGGTATAGTAAGATACCCTTTTGGTGCAACTAAGTTGGAATACCCTGAATAATCCCCCATGTAGTTTAATTTTGATTTATTTTTATTAAACATTTAAGTAATTGTTTTCACTTGGAATATAAGTCGAAGGTATTTACAAACAGCATTTAGATTTTTGCTGTTCGCAAAACTGCCAGTCAAATTTGCTTTACTAAAATAGGTGTCTTGTATCTCTTTTGGACCCCACAATTCATCTTTTGGGTTTGTGTGGCTAAAAAAAGAGGGGGGGGAGGCTTTCGTTTAGGTCAAAGAATTTGTTCCCATCTCGATTCACAAACCTTATTCATTTTTTAGAACAACCCAAAAACATTTTTTATTCAAATTTGAGTGTTGAATTTTATAATTTTTTATCAAAAATAAATATTTGTGATAAATCCTTCCTGAAAAGAAAAAAATATTTAGATCTATATTATGCATGTCTGTTTGAGAACCATTTCATAAGACCGATGATTTCTATAGAAATCATTGATGGGACCCATTATAAACACATTTTTTTTATTATTCCTGGAGTAGATAATAATTTTCTTTTAATCATTGGGAATTATTCAATTTGTTTTTATGTTAAAATAATTAACTTCATAATTTTGATGAAGAAAATCCATTTCAATTCAATTTTTTTTCATCAAAATGATGATTTTCATTTTCATCTATCAACAAACTTTTTAAATTGTAGTGGCATGGTCGGTCAACTGATAAGTTGTATGGCTGATTACAGGTAAAGCAATAACTTCTATTTGACGGTTGTGTGTACTCTGGGGTGTGGAATACCTTAATTTTATGGGGAACATCCTGTCCATGTGTAATACTTAATATATTCCAACAGATGACATTACACAGATTTTTCTTCTGTTAAATGAATGATTTGTATATCATCATAATTTGCTATTTATATAAACCACATTTTGGTATAATAATTATTTACCATATCAACATTGAATATTATGAATGTAGAATGAAATATGTCTACAGTATGATTGGTTTGAACTGAGACTACTATAACAAATGTGTTATAGTAGTCTCAGGTTTGAATCATTTAATTTACAAGATTTAGGAATCAAAATTTGTAATTATTTAAAAACCCACATTGAAATTGTTTTATATCAACACACCCACATTTGAATTATTTTATACTTTAGATTTCATAGCCATATTTGCATTTGTAAAAATATTTATATACCCAAATTTTCAATTATTTTACATGCCCAACTTTTATTTTTGTTGTAAAGAAGTGTAACTTGAAACAACAGTATATCATATAAAGAGAAATAAAGATTAAAGTTATATCATGAATATTGGTCATGATTTGTAAAACTCAGAACTGTCAAGTAAATTTAAGACACGATTCAAAATTTTCAGAATATGTCAAGCCATACTGAGAAAAAATAAGAATGTCGAGAATATGTCGAGAAATTTCAAGACAGTATTCAAATGTCAAGAATTTGTCATGAAATTTTAAGACCACATTCAGAATGTCGAGAATATGTCGAGTAAATTTCATACAAATTTAATATAAATGAGAATTTGTCAAGAAAAATTAAGACACAAGTCATACTTTTGGAGAATGTCGAGTAAAAGTTCATGCAAATTAAGACAAAAACTGGTCTTTTCAGACTTTTAGACTTTTGTAGTGGATAAAACACATCATTTTCTATATAAACTTGAAAAGTCTTGCACATGAATTACATATTACTCTCAAAATTTGCACATTTCATTAAAGATCTTGACCAATTGCCATCTGCTATTTCAAAATCCAAGATGGAGGAAGACACCCCAGCCACCTTAAGCAGAAAACTTAACATCGAAAATTGCGAATTAAATCAAAGTCGCCGTTTTATGCCGACATAGGTCCAGGCCACAAAATAGTCGTCGAACTGATTTGTACTGATAGTAATTTAACTTAAATTTATAGAAAATACCGAAACTTAACATTAAAAATTGCTTATCAATTAAAAGTGGCTGGACTATGACCCAGGAGGCAAGGCTTCAAAATAGTCGTCAAACTTATATGTACAGATAGTAATGCAACTTTTTATTAAATAACAATGATCTATCACAAATAGATCATATCAAACTAATTTAGGCAGAAAACTTAACAATTGTCGTCGCCGGAAAAGCAATCCCTAAGTCTACCTTTCGGCTACTTTCTTCGCCGGCGAGACAAAAACCATATCGAAAGATAGTGACGCCGTATTTGCATCCCCATATTTCGCATTCTGTGGCTTTCTTCTCAGGCGATTTTTTTTTCAGATATGAAGAAATATTGATAATGCTCATTATAACGATCGTCTAAATATTTACGAATACTTATTTTAACCGAAGCGTACGGTTAATGAAAGCATGCATGGCTTAACCAGCGGTAAATACAGAACATATTGATCAGACTAGTAAAAGACCAGATACTCCATGTACCGCTCATTTATAGAGAGGAATAAGGTTTGTATTTATTTCAAATATGTCATTGAATTTCGAAGTTCAGATGGAACCTACAAAAATATGCACATTTTAAAATGGACAAAAAGCAAAATCATCGGACAAAAAGCAACGAACAAAAAGCAAAAGTGTCGGACAAAAAGCAACGGACAAAAAGCAAAAATTTTGGACAAAAAGCAAAACAGACCGAAAGCACCGGACAAAAAGCAAAAGCGTCGGACTAATAGCAAAATAATCGGACAAAAAGCAAAACGGACCGTAAGCAACGGACAAAAAGCAAAAGTTTCGGACAAAAAGCAAATCCCGGACAGAAAGCACAGTATCAGACGTCGATAAGGTAACGGACGTCGATCTATTGCTTACATTTATTTCTCTAATTCTTCGTCAATTTATCCCTTTCTGCACCCATTGTATAAACAAATTTAATCAACGTGTGGTTCGTTTGATCTCAGTTCTTCATTGGTTGAAATCTGATTATGACGTCAAATTTACTTGCTTTCCTCTGAATTTTCTATTGTGACGGCATGAAAAAAGGCGACCATGCCTGATGACGTCACATAGAACATATCTTTTTACAGATCATTCAAAAAGACGGAATAATTTTGCCTGCATATTGTTTGAAAATCATTAGAGAAACAGATTCCACCACCAAATCTCGTGTAATACGATATTTATCCACTCTCGACAGTTAAATTTTAAATATTTAAAACGCTCGGCGAGCCTCGCGTTTTAAATTTGAAAATTTAACTGTCTCGAGTGGATAAATATCGTATCACACTCGATGCAGTAGTAGAATCTATATATATACATGTAACTACATCATGGTACTGTATATCGACTAAAGTGGAACCTAGCTGTTGGTTGTTCATTAAAAATGAACTCGAGGCATATTATATATGAAGCTGTTGATGTTTCATTATTATTATTCATTATTTTTACTCACATTATGCCATTTATATTTTCACCTAAATTACATGACTTCAATAACAGTTCTACTTTTGTTTTGCAATGCATTGTCAATTTTAGTCTTAATTACTAATGGCATCATTAATATTATGTTCGTTAGCTAACGTAGCACTTCAGTCCTTAATGTTTGACTGGGAAGTGAAGAAGACGATTAAACTCATTTGCCTTTTCAGTTTCAAACAATTTTAAGGTACTATTAGGTGCTTCTACAAGTAAGCGAGATACGAAAGATCTGTTTTTTTATCAGACTGCCAAATTTTACGTTTAGAAGTTTTGACGACATTTCGGAAAGTTCAAAAGAATTCTCATTGGACAGTGAAACCCTATTTGTTCTTATAAAGGTGGCCACGCCCGACTCCGTAGTAATTTATTATGTGAGTATCCATTGTTGAAAAAAAAGATCTATTAAAGATGATGACGATTCAGTAAAATCAGTCGGTTCATCTATCATTTGAGTAAAGCTTCGTTTGCTTAACAGAAAGTTGATATACTTTTCGGTGGAAGCGTCATGATGTGGACAGCAACATCCTACAACTGTAAGACAAACCTTGTACATGTACGAAGAAATGTTAATGTTCGGCGTTATACATGATGCTAAGGAGATGCAGAACAGTTTCAGGCGTATATGATGGTCACAATACCTTTGATCAGTATCCTGTATGACATTCGTGTGTGAAATTGTACCTCAATATTCCAAAGCATGTATGTAAAAATCGATTTGAAGTACACAGAATAAAATTTTCAGAACAAAAACATTATGGGACTTTTCTTTTTTGGCAGAGTATTATGTATCACAAATATGTTTGATATTACTGAGCCATAGATCTTAAAAGGGTGGTACGGTCCAAACCTATGCCGAAACTTTTTTATTTTTTTTTTACCCCGTCCCCCTTATTTTTCGACGAGTCTTCAGCCCCACGCTCCTCTTTAAACAGACCTAGTCTGTCATTGTCGATTTAGGCTAAATGGCAGTTTATGGACAGTTTTGTGATTTCGCAAAATCTAAGCTCTGGTCAGCATAACCCTCCAGGTCTAATACTACAGTATTTTTGTTCAAAGTGTTCGAAGCAATTCGAACATTTAAGAACGTTTGCCTGCGCGTCCCTGTCCACAACACAAATATCGTATCTTTAATGGCGGCTGATTAGATGCAGTGATACAAATAATAATTTATACATCTATCACATTAAAGCAAACAACGTAAATCAATCAATCATTTTTTTTATTAAACTTGCCGGTTGTTACTGCATAAAAAATAAATACAAAGTACTAAACTATTTAAACAAATCGGATTAATATAAGAGTCTTATTCTTAATGTCAAAAATCAATACCATTAGATATTATTTTGACATTTTCCCTACAATAAATTAGATCCGCCCACCTCTGTGTCATATTCACTTCCTTATGATCCGCCAGTTTACACAGTGACAGTCAAGGAGTTGATACATTCAAAATGACAGCAATCGACAGAGAAAATATATATGATGCTTATGAAGATGTGCGAAAAGACGACTCAGACACTAACTGGTAAGGTCTTTCGAAATAAAAAAAAATCTCGCTGATGGGGCTTTAAATAAGCGAATACCGGCATTTTGACCTTTGACTTTCAGGTCACATGATTTTTTTTTTCTTTATTTGAAATATATTTTTAATATTTCTTTTCTTTTGCAGGCTGGTTTTGACTTTTGACGATGCTAACAAAATAGTTTTAGAATCAACCGGTGCAGATTTTGGAGAGTTTCGTGATAAATTTACAGGTAAGTTTTCTCTTTAATTTTGATCAATTAAATTTTAAAAATATCTAAAACCAAATAATGTCATATCATACCTGTTTCCTCATTTCATATGACGTATAATAGTATTGTGTATGATGAATTACAAATTTGTAAAAAAGTAGAAGGCTTGCTAAAAAAGATTATTAAAAGGGTGCGGTTCGCCGTTTTTCTGTTTATTATTTTTTTAATTAATCACTGAAAACATATTTCTTGGTTAAAATACTTTCTAAAGTAGATTGTTACTGTGCGATATTTATATGCACATTGTACTTTTACCCATTTAGGAATGCAATAACCATGCAATCCGTTCATGCAAATAAATCATGACCTGTCATTTTATGTTAACACCATATATGGTAATGATATTGTCACTATATATAGGAGATACTTTTATAAATGTATTCAGGCTATTTTTTGTTGTATATTAAATTCTGAGAAACTATAAGACCTTGCAATATTTTGGTCTATGGAAACCATCGACTTTTTAATTCTTGATCAATTTGAAATAGACGAAATATAAAACGAAAACATTTTTGTTCTTTATTCTACATGCATAGTGTCGTTTTGTCCGTGTACTAAGGGGAAAATATTATAAATATACTTTATATGAAGATTAGATTAATCCCACAAAATTCAAGTAAGCAATCTCATTCATAGTCAATAGGTATAAGAAGATGTGGTATGGGTGCCAATGAGACAACTCTCCATCCAAGTCACAATTTATAAAAGTAAACCATTATAGGTCAAAGTACGGTCTTCAACACGGAGCCTTGGCTCACACCGCACAACAAGCTATAAAGGGCTTAAAAAATTACTAGTGTAAAACCATTCAAACGGGAAACCCAACGGTCTAATCTATATAAAAAACGAGAAACGAGAAACACTTATGAACCACATCAACAATCGACATAAAGGAAACTCATTTTCTCATGGGATAATGTAAAACAAAGTAAGATGATACCAGGGATGGATGCAATTGAACATAAGTCAAAGGAAGACGGACTACAGCGTGGCACGGACATACATTGCACGGATATCTAAAGATTGAGCGAACCCCTACACAAACCGGGGTAATAAACTATGGTGTTCTGGAAGGGTCAGCAGTTCCTGGCTGTTCAAGTAGTTGCTCCCGTCATTTTGTTAAAGACCAGACAAAATCCGATGATAACTCGCATGTGATGTGAGGAACGATAGTATGAGGGTTGTGGCGCCTACAAAGGGAACATATACATGTGGTTATCTGTCACACAGAAATTCCATAATAGTCATCATGATTGGGTGCGTAACCTTTCGAAGAGTTGATATCGACTCTTTATGTTTCTTTGCTATCAAAGTAACAAGTAGATTTTGCTTTCTTCCGTTTACAAGCAACATAAAACTGCATGTATAGCCGTACCTGACATACCTAAATTTGACCTTTTAACCTTTCATATAGAGCAAATATTTGAATTAAATTTTAACGTATTTTTAAAAGTGATAAACTGATATTGATGGTCCTTCGACATTAAAATCATATAAAATCGAGATAACCTGAAGCGGATTATGTTTGAATTACATTTGTCGAGCTTAGTATGACGTATTATCCTGTAATATTGACCGTTTCAGTACAACAATTATTACTGTTTAGTCATAAGTACATACTTGTATTATATAACTCTGTTGTTGATAACGTGTTATTATGTTATTACAATTATCACATAATGATACGTCTCATTTCAATGACAGGGAAATAATTGTTGTTGTTTAAGTAAATGCTGTATTTCCTTGTATATCAGTGCTTTTTTAGTCAATTTCCTTTAAACCTATTCCTTCCCTTTTGTTTAGGCCTCGATGAAAAAAATATTTGTGATTAGAGCTTACGGGATACTCTGCTTAGCCTATTTTCATGCTCCAAAATGTCTTTCCTAAAGTTTTAATGGCACTTTGGTAGTGATTTTTGTCAAAATTTCAGTTGGTCCTGATATACTGAAGGTATAAAAAAGAACCCAATTTAAAAATAAAATCAACCAACCTACCTACCCTACACACATATATTTTGTTAGCACTTATGTATACCGGACACTGACGTTGAATACATGACATTCAAATTAAACTGAATGCAGACCATTTACAAAACACATCAGTCTACGTTTGTCAGGGCGTAGAATTGTGAATACTAGTAAATATATATAGATTCTACCACTGCATCGAGTGTGATACGATATTTATCCACTCGAGACAGTTAAATTTTCAAATTTAAAACGCGAGGCTCGCCGAGCGTTTTAAATATTTAAAATTTAACAGTCGGGAGTGGATAAATATCGTATTACACGAAATTTGGTGGTGGAATCTGTTTCTCTAATGAATTTCAAACAATACGCAGGCAAATTTATTCCTTCTTTTCGAATGATCCGCAAAAAGATGTGTTCTTTCTATGTGACGTCATCAGGCATGGTCGCCTTTTTTCATGCCGTCACAATAGGAAATTCAGAGGAAAGCAAGAAAATTCGACGTCATAATCGGATTTTAACCAATGAAGAACTGAGATCAAACGAACCACACGTTGATTAATTTTTTTTATACAATTGGTGCAGAAAGGGATAAACTGACGAAGAATTAGAGAAATATATATATCAAACAGAAAAGTTAACTCAACAAAAAGGCCTCGGTTTTAACAAGTCTCCGTTTAGTTTGTCTTCAAATAACTTTTTCACGAAGATTGTTTAATCGTTTTTTTAAAATAATTGTTTTTTGTAAATAATTGTTTGTTTTGATATTGTAACACAGTGATGACTGCTGTACCCATATTTTGACTATTTTATTTATAATGTCTGTTTTGTTCACGCATCGTTGTAAATATAACGGAATTTGATAAGACTGTCGTACAAGTGAGAGGTTTAGCGCTATAAAACCAGGTTCAATCCACCATTTTCTACATTTGAAAATGCCTGTACCAAGTCAGGAATATGACAGTTGTTGTCCATTCGTTTGATGTGTTTTGTCATTTGATTTTGCCATGTGATTAGGGACTTTCCGATTGAATTTTCCTCGGAGTTCAGTATTTTTGTGATTTTACTTTTTTTTCATAGTAAAAATCATAATTATTTAAGGACTTTTTCGACAAGAATACTGTTCGTTTAAGTTATACCAAGTTAAAAATTAAACAAGTGCACGTTACCGAGATAACTCAGATTGTGCAAGCTAATGGATCGGTACTAGAGGTCGTCTGAAATAGTCCACTCAAATGACTAATGTTGGTAAGTCGACTGGAAGGGGCGAATGTCATGGTCTTGGGACATGGACTCCCCTTTTGTTCTTTTTTGTGTGTTAATAAAACAAAATATAATAACTACTATGGACGATAATGTGACTATAGTATAAACGATCATACATACTACAGTAGCTAATATGTACAAGATTTAAATTGAAAATAAATTTTAAAAGGCTTCTGTCAGTGAATGACGAATTTCCGTTTTATAATAACATCCTCTACATTTTCCTGTTGAAGTGTTAAGATAGGACTTGTAATACTTTCAGTATTCCGGTTAGCAAATGTCACCCGTGTAGTTAGCTTAAGAGCTAAATTAATTTTACAGTTTTTAAATATTACACATCTTGTTTATTTTAAATAGTTTCGCAAAAAAAGCCAATAGAAATGATTTGTAAACTATATAAGAATTATTATTGCATCTGTATCTATTAAATTATTATCAAAGTACAATGACTAATGTCTTGTCTTTATATATGTGAAGAAAGAGATGTGTTGTATACGTCAATGAGGCAGCAATACAACGACAAAATAACCATTAGTCATGTAGATGCTTTTGTTTTAGTTTTATTTTCTCTCGGAAAGATATCATCTTTCAATAGTAAACATAAAATGCTATGGAACACAAACATTGTTCAATATTTGAATAGCGAGAAAGATTTGCCTGGTATCATTGTTGAGTTTTTTTATACTAATGAAATTCTTGATGATACGTACTTTTTCAGATGATGCACGACTGTTTGGTTACCTAAAAGTGATAAGTGGAGATGAGTTGAGCAAAAGATCCAAATTTGTGTTCATAACTTGGATAGGTCCAAAAGTTTCAGTTTTGAAGAAAGCAAAAATGTCAGCTGATAAAGGAGTAGTGAAAGAAGTTATACGAGTAATATCTTGTTAAAAATATAGATAAAATTTTATATTTGAGTTTGTGTACGAAAAATGATTCAAATGAGTTATGCTGTGATAAACCAGTCTGAGATTTTTTATTAAAATTAAAGTGGAGATTTTGTAAATTTGTGGTTAACGTCTAGATTGTCGCAAATAAAATTGAAGCTTTGGCTCGTATAGTTTACTTCAAAATTAAATAGTTCCGATGCCTACATCGGCCCACATCCATACATGGTTAAGCAGCTGTTGTTGTAGTTTGGGGGTATACATCAATGAAACAGCAATCCAAATTTGATCAACCACACACAATTTTAAGTCTCTTTGGTCATGACCAAAATTCGTGTGTTCCTTTCCATATTTTTCTTGTTCATTTTGTCCTACATTCTCACTAATATCTGACAACTCATACTGTACGCTAAGGGATAAATGAGAATGATAAATTGAATTACCTGACCAAATAAATGTTATTTGTATAGCTTTACTAAAGATGTAAGCGTTTATTTTCAGAACTTTGCCATAGAAGAATTATTTACTGACCGAAGTGAAGTTAAAGAAGAGAGTATTAAAGCAAAAGTAGCAAAAGCAGGAGGAGCAAATTATGGTACCGGATCCCGGTGATCTCAGTTGATAAAATGACGGGATAAGAACGGTCTATAACAAACATAAAACCAAAGACTGTGAACATGTATTGATTTAATTATATCCCCGTATGTCTCAGATAGGAGAGTTTTTAAAAATTGTATATGAATTTATCTACAAAATTTCCTCCCGATACAGCTAACAATAGGGAAATAATTGTCTGTTTGCTGTAAATACAGGGAGTATCAAAGAAAGTATTAATGAGACAACGAAATCTACTGTTTTAATATCACAGTTATATTTGATAAATATTTGTTTTACCCATTTCAACCATTTCTTACTTGTATTTTATATCGTAGGTTAATGCTCTTTCATTTTCATATGTCTCATTCCAATTATTTATAAATATTTTACAAATAGTTTATTATTTTTACAATAGAATAAAGTCGTATATGACATTTATATATTGTATCAAGTGTTTCCTTACTTGTCCTAGGCATCAGTGTAAAATAGGCCCGATTTGGTGGTGTTACTTCTTACAAAGTCTATCCGAATAATTTTGCAAAGAATTCCGCTAAAAGCGGTGCTAGGGGCCGTCTTGAGCTTGCAGTGAGGTGGGAGATTTCGGTTCCGTGTTGAATGCTTCACTGTGACTTTGAGATGAAGAACAGCAATAAAAGCGCTGTTCCTTTGCTTTTTATGTTTTTTTGTTGTGCGTGTACTGATTTTGTGTCATACATGGATATCCCATATCCTTTCTTTTTCTCTTAGATTGATGATAAAGTTACTAGTCACACATAGAATACTAGAGCTCTGACAGAATACATTAATTTAGTATTTGTATATGGTATTTAAATATACAACCGACTTACTAAATCAGCGGTACTTATTTAAAATACAAAATTTACTAATTTGAGGCAACAATAATATCTTTTACAAATTTATAATTACCGATTGCCAAAACTAGAGGAACACCGGTTTTTATTATTTTATTTTATTTACATACTATTCTTTATGTATATAAATAATTTATTTATATGCATATACGTGATTGCGAAACGGAAATATATATATAAACAATATTCAAACTTCCAATAAGTATTGAAAAAATACTCTTAATCGACACACATGATTTATCAATACAAAATCTTAGATAAAACACATCATGACGAAGCACTATAATTTTTTTTGAATTTATAAGCGAAATTTATAAGAATGGTATGACCAATCAAATTAGAATAAGATGATCTGTGATTTAACTACGCTTATGTCGAGTAAACGAGTCCATTTTAATCGTAATTTTAATCAAATTGAAGTTCTAACAAAAGCAAAAACAGCTGATTAAATAAAAATTCAAATTCTTTATTGTCCTAATCACAGGGCCAATTCGGGCATTACAAATTTTGACACGTTTATTCAAACTTTCATATATAACTCTTTTTTTCACTCCGCTCACTCTGATTATGTTAATTAGGTACAGCATAATAAAATATGTGGAAGAGAGTCTAGCTTGTTGGTTAAAGAGAAATAACTCTATAGTTATCATTGACACTTTTACCAAGTAGAGAATAGGGGCGTGTTTTATTGGTCTCTTCTGCACATCTCCAGAATGTCTTCTGGTCTGCACATCTCCAGAATGTCTTCTGGTGAAGAGTCCAAAAAAATGAATCTGGACCTCTTCTGGAGATATTCTACGGAAGATCAATAAAATAAAAATTCAATTTGCCGTCGAATATAGCAGATTGTTGTTATGTTGGATGACATAAATGAAGTTTACGATTATTTTATAGAAAATTAAGTTACGTCCGGTAGACATGAATGTAAAAGTGTGCTCTGTTCATGACATTTTTCTTTGTTCTTTCCTCTAACTCAATTTTGCTAGACAAATCTGGCTTAAACCCCCACTATTTGATTTGATTTTTAAGAATAATCTTAAACTGCACAGACGAATGTTTGTCTCGAATATGATCAGAAAGCAGTGGCGGATCCAGAACTTTTCAGAAGGGGGGGCCGCTCCAGTCATGCTTCAGTGATTCCCTATATAATCAACCAAATTTTCCCACGAAAGGGGGGGAGGGGTGACCCCTAGGGCCCCTCTGGATCCGCCTATGAAAAGGACATCTTGTCTATCCAATTTTTTTAAAGTAACCAAACTGGATTATTTTTGTATAAAGCAAAGATATCGGAAAGTTCTCAAAATCATTTTTCGGACCACCACTTTTCAAAAATTTTCATTGTATATGTATCAATATGCAAGTATACAATGTATACCAGACATTTCTCAGACTCTTTTTTTTTTCTTTTTTTTTTTAATTAATTCGTTGGTTGAGTACTGATTGATACTTCAGCCTGGGAGAACAAGATTTATTTCAGTACTAGTTGTTATTGCAAATACTCTTATTTCGGTGCTTTGTGTCTTTTGGTTTAATGTAAGTTTTTTTTTGTGTGTCTCGTACCGATCTTTTGAGTTAATCTAATTGCAATTGATTTGTGCAGGTTGTTCTTATATTGTACTGTTACACCACTGTCCCAGCTTCGGGAAGGGTTGAGCGCTCACAAAAATGTTCTTGTACTGTTACACCACTGTCCCAGGTTAGGGGGCGGGTTGGGCCGGATCCCGCTAACATGTTTAACCCCGCCACATTCTGTATGTATGTGCCTGTTCCAAGTCAGGAGCCTGTAATTTAGTGGTTGTCGTTTGTTGCTGTGTTACGTATTTGTTTTTCGTTCATTTTTTTGTACATTAATTAGACCGTTAGTTTTCTCGTTTGAATTGTTTTACATTTGTGATTTCGGGGCCTTTTATAGCTGAATATGCGGTATGGGATTTGCTTATTGTTGAAGGCCGTACGGTGACCTATAGCTGTTGATTGCTGTGTCATATGGTCTCTTGTGGAGGGTTGTCTCATTAGCAATCTTCGTTTTTATATCAACCCTGTCATATTCTTTGTGAGCCTGTCCCAAGCCAGGAGCCTATAATTTAGTGGTTGTCGTTGGTTCATGTCTCGACTCATATTTGATATTTTGTAAATTATTTTGTTATGTATAAATAGACCGTTAGTTTTTTCGTTTGAATTGTTTCTCACACTTTTCAAGTCGGGCCTTTTATAGACGACTTTTAATACAATATCGGGTTTTGTCATTGTTGAAGGCCTTAATTACGGTTGCCTATAATTGCTTACATCCACTTCATATTTGAACTCCGGTGAATAGTTGCCTCATTAGCAATCATACATCTCTTCGTTTTTATATTATATACCTGACTTTTAAACTTGTGTTTTTCTGAACCGAGTCCTGAACATGCATAACATATTTGTCACTGGGCGTTAAAAATTAGCAACAAACAATCAATCAAGTTAAACTTGTGTTAAATAAGGAGAAAAATCATTTGATATTTATTCCTTTTGTTGGGGTGGGGGACAGGAGGATTTCATATATGAATATGGTTGACTGGTAAGAGCTGAAAATAGGCATAATTAGCGACAGATTAAAAAAGTTAATAATGCCCTCGTCGTCTTCCCCATCCTTCATCTATAAATTTATATAACACAGCTCACATTCTAATATATCTGCATTCATAAATTTATTAATGTCATTTTGACTAAACGACGCCATGTTTGTTATGTGCTTCTGCCGTCTAAACTACCTATAAAAAAAAGAAGAGGCGGAAGAGAGCCAGAAGATCTTCCCTATTAAAAAAACAAAAATGGACCTCTTCTGGCTCACTACCGAAGAACAAAAAAATACGCCCTAGATCTTCTTCCTGATACGGGAGTAGACTCCTTGCTAGGAGTGTAAAACTTCCCGCAGTTGTTTTTTTCTTTCTTTCAGCAAAATTGAGTATTAAAAAATCACACATTAGAGATAAAAATGTTTTGTCTTCGTTTATCATTACCCATATAAACAGGTTGGTTGAACTGAGAAACTTTATACATGTATTTCGTTCCCTTGTCACCATCTTATGGTGTTTATATATCACAACTTGTTCGATTCGCTCGTGTATGTAACAACGTATTTGATTTTAACGAAAGAAATCTCTGTATTACTGAAAAAATTTTACACCAGGGTTTTCGATATCACAAACTAGTCAAAACATTTACTAAATTTTACCGTCGGTACAAGGACATCATTCGTAAATATAATTCAACATGCAGACATCTTATACGTTCAGGTATTTCACATCCAATCTTTTATGGTAATATTCTTTACAAAGCACAAAAATGTCGGCATTCACCTCAAAAGCCAACCAAACCTTTAAACAGACTTATTCGGAAGGGATATAGTTACGATACTGTTGTCAGGTCATTAAAGATGGCATATTTTAGTATTAATATTGATTCACTCATAGGGTTTTTGCATCGGAAATAAACACATTTATTCTAAAACCAGTTGTTGGCATGATACGGGTTATGTTCTCATATATTTTATGATGGTATGATACTAAACCCCTAACTGGAGGGATTGTGCTTGATTTTCATATGATGAAGACATAATCTTTCAATCAGTTCAATTGAGGTCTGGAGCTGGCATGTCAGTAACTGCTAGTAGTCCTTTGTTAATTTATGTATCATTGTCATTTTGCTTAGTTTCTTTTGTTACATATTCAGACATCGGACTCGGACTTCTTTCAAACTGAGTTTTACTGTGCGTATTGCTGTGTGTTTGTTTTTTCTACATTGGCTAGAGGTATAGGGGGAGGGTTGAGATATCACTAAACATGTTTAACCCCGCCGCATTTTTGCGCCTGTCCCAAGTCAGGAGCCTCTGGCCTTTGTTAGTCTGGTATGATTTTTAATTTTAGTTCATTTATATGTTTTGGAGTTTAGTATGACGTCCATTTTCACTGAACTAGTACACATTTTGGTTTAGGGGCCAGCTGAAGCCCGCCTCCGTGTGCGGGATTTTCTCGCTGTTTTGAAGACCTATTGGTGGCCTTCGGCTGTTTTCTGCTTTTTGGTCGGGTTGTTGTCTCTTTGACACATTCCACATTTCCATTCTCAATTTTATTGGGAAAATGATTATTAATCTGTGATAATAGAATTCCTCTCCTTTTGGTCATATTGAGGGCACTGGAGTAAACAATGTATCTCGTCCTTTACTTGGTATATAGCTAAGCGTATGTTGAATATGTGAATACTAGTATAAAGCTCATTATACTTAGAAGCTGGTGCCATGCATAATAAACACAATATAAAAGGCTGAAGATGGATATGATCTAAACTGGTGAAAATTTAACATCAACAAACAAAGAAGTTACGATCATTTCCGTTCCACGACTATAAAATGAACTGAAATTGAGTCTTCTAAAATCATCAGGTCACGTTATCGTTCAATTAAACAGCAGCTGTAAAATTAAAAGAGTTTTTACCCTATTTTGATGTTCGAGTCCTATGTGTGGTTGTCACAAAATGTAAATTTAAATTACTCCACTGGCTTTCAGTATGATTGTTGATGCTGTCTGG